AGAAGAGGAGGAGGAAGAAGAAGAATAAGAAGAGGAAGAAGAAGGAGGAGGAAGAAGAAGAGGAAGAGCAGAAGAGGAAGAGCAGAAGAGGAAGAGGAAGAAGAAGGAGAAGAAGAAACTATATACAGCAAAAAAACTACTCAGAAATAAATAGAAGAAAAAAATAAAGCAGAAAAGAAATAACTATATAAAAAATTACTCAAAAATAAACAGAAGAAAATAAATAATGCAGAAAAGAAAAAAATTATATAAAGCAAAAAAATTCACAAAAAAACTAAATACAGCAAAAAAACCTACTCAGAAATAAATAGAAGAAAAAAATAAAGCAGAAAAGAAATAACTATATAAAAAATTACTCAAAAATAAATAGAAGAAAATAAATAATGCAGAAAAGAAAAAAAAATATATAAAACAAAAATATTCACAAAGAAACTAAATACAGCAAAAAAACCTACTCAGAAATAAATAGAAGAAAAAAATAAAACAGAAAAGAAATAACTATATAAAAAATTACTCAAAAATAAATAGAAGAAAATAAATAATGCACAAAAGAAAAAATTTATAAAAAAATGTTGGGGCGCTGCCTGGTGGGCCTGCCAGACCTAGGGTGTGCAAATACAGGCCCAGAAGGGCCAGCAGGCTCACAGGGCAGCGCGCCCTAGTTAGGCCCAGAAGCCTGCTATATAGAGGAGTTCGAAAGGGCAGCCGCGGCTGGGTTTATAAACCAGTGCGGCCGCCCTTCGCTCGGCGAGGTGGGACTAAAAGTAGCGCACTGCGGGTGGCAGCGCAGAGCCATTAGTACCGGTTGGTGGCTCCAACCGGTACTAATGTGTTGCCCTTTAATACCGGTTGGAGCCACCAATCGGTACTAAAGGCCCGCGTTTTCCGCCGCTTGGGCTGTCTAAAATTGGGCTTTAGTACCGGTTGGAGCCACCAACCGGTACTAAAGGCCCCTCTTATATATATGTCACTTACGAAAATTCAGTTATCGTCGCCACTTTGTTCCACTTCTCGCGCGAGTCTCGATCTCCGACGACGACGTCGACGCCACCGTGCCGTCGACCTCGTGCACGTCGTCGCCGTCCCCGGCGCCCTCGCCGCACGTCATCGTCGTCGTCGCCGCCCCCGTCGCGCCTGTCTCGTCGCCGTCCCCGGCCGCCGCCCGTCTCGTCACCGTCCCCGGCCGCCGCCGCCCGTGTCGTCGCCGTCCTCGGCCCCCTTCGCCCGTCGTCGCCGCCCCCGCCGCCCGTACGCGCCCGGCCTGCTCCATACACACACGCATACACACATACACACACACACACAGACAGACACACACACACACACACATACACACACACTAGTTTAACATTTTTTTACTTATTTTCTTTTTTCTAATGTTTAAATGAATTAGAACTATCTAGTTTATTTTTAGAATGTTAGAAATGTTAATGTTAGATGAATTAGAAATGTTAATGTTTAGTTGAACTAGTTGAATTAATATATAGATCGAACTAGTTTATTTTTAGTAAATGCTTAGTTGAACTTTTTGAATTAATATAACTAGTTTATTTTTAAAATGTTAGAAATGTTAATGTTAGATGAATTATAAATGTTAATGTTTAGTTGAACTAGTTGAATTAATATATAGATCGAACTAGTTTATTTTTAGTAAATGCTTAGTTGAACTTTTTGAATTAATATAACTAGTTTATTTTTAGAATGTTAGAAATGTTAATGTTAGATGAATTAGAAATGTTAATATTTAGTTGAACTAGTTGAATTAATATATAGATCGATCGAACTAGTTTATTTTTAGTAAATGCTTAGTTGAACCTTTTGAATTAATATAACTAGTTTATTTTTAGAATGTTAGAAATGTTAATGTTAGATGAATTAGAAATGTTAATATTTAGTTGAACTAGTTGAATTAATATATAGATTGATCGAACTAGTTTATTTTTAGTAAATGCTTAGTTGAAATTTTTGAATTAATATAACTAGTTTATTTTTAGAATGCTAGAAATGTTAATGTTAGATGAATTAGAAATGTTAATGTTTAGTTGAACTAGTTGAATTAATATATAGATCGAACTAGTTTATTTTTAGTAAATGCTTAGCTGAACTTTTTGAATTAATATAACTAGTTTATTTTTAGTAAATGCTTGGTTGAACTAGTTGAATTAATATAACTAGTTTATTTTTAGTAAATGTTTAGTTGAACTAGTTGAATTAATATATAGAACTAGTTTATTTTTAGTAAATGCTTAGTTGAACTAATTGAATTAATAGAACTAGTTTATTTTTAGTGAATGCTTAGTTGAATTAATAGAAATAGTTGAATTAATTAAATTAGTAAGTGTTTAATGTTTCGCCTAATATGAACATAGGAAATGTCGTCTGACGACGAAAAAAATTTCATTATGTGCGAGTACTGTGAAGACCAGCGCGGCCAGTGCGACAGAAATTTCCTTGTTGACGGTAGGCGATTCAGCATCAAGCTGGATGAGACCTTCGAATTCGATATAGTAAGTCACAACGACAAGTCTGTTTTCGTAATTAAGCATGACTTATATATATACTTCATTTGCCTGACTTATAATTTTTAATTTTCATTATTCTAGTAGCGCATCCCCTGCCATGTAATAATTTTTGTCTTGGATAAGATAGGTTTCAAAGATATGGAAACTATGGTGGTAAAGAGAGTTTACCTGAAAACTGAGCATGATGGTTATACTTTCAACGTCAAAGTATACAATGCACTCACGCACACCTATTTTGACAGCAAAACTTGGCAAGCACTATGCAAGGCTTATGCATTTGAGCCTGGTATGATTATCACCTTTGATATTCGTCCGGAAGATGATATTGAAGGTAATAGAGACATATGGGTCGATGTGCAGACGCCTCCAGTTCTACCATTATATGAGTTCTTCTCAACTATATTTTTGTATTTGATATTGCTTATTCAAAAATAATTGACAACTAATTTCTATTGACAGCTTATCTCCATTCAACCAAACATGTCCAAACTACGAGGAGATAAGTCATTATGTTTCATGGCTTGAGGATCTTCATACTGTCAAGACAAATTTTCTTCCTGCACTTAGAAATATTAATACTTATAATGTGCGACCAATAGTGATGGTATTGAACTACGGTCACATCTATTTAGGAATGATGGTAAGATTTTTACTATTTGTCCTCAGTGCATCTTTTGCATACATAATTTTTCTGCTAAACTATCATTGCTAAGTATATTAATTAAGTACTATACGATGTTCTTCAACAGAGACTCCCGATGACAGTTGTGCCTTATGGGATCGAGACTAAAGGTCGCATGTCAATTGTTAACTTACGGCCAAGATATCCTGCATTGCACATTAATGCATTCAGAATTTTTAGAAGCGATGAATGCTTAATAGTGAAAGATTGGAGGAAAATTATTAACGATTGCAGAGAAGTACTAGGGGGCAGCAATGAGAAGCGCATCCCACGATTAGGAGACAGGTTCATCGGCATGCTCCAGTTTGATGAATCAGGAGAGTTATACATATTCTATGCTATTTTACCAGAAAGAGAGTAGCTAGCAGGAGTGATTTAGCTAGTTCATGCTGCTCTTAGTACTTCTCCTTTCATGTCCGTGTCCTTCGTTCTGAACTTAAGTGATTTGCTTTTGTGGTGTTATATATGAACGCTTATAATATCATGACAATCATGTTGAACTCGATGATATTTTTGCTTTTGGTACAAGTGAATGTTTCTTCTTTAAGCTAGTAGTGCTGGTGGTGATTAGATATATAGCTAGCGGTAATGCATGACTATGATGATTAATATGATGATGATGATGAGTAGTTATTATATCATTTAATGAAAGAAACCGCAGATTAGTTTCAGCTGGATGGATCCTACCTAAGTGATCAAGTATATGCCATATCCGTATATATTATAGTTGATCAAGTATAATTAATATGGATGTGGCATATACTTGATCACTTAGCTAGCTATCCAATGCATCCAGTCGAAACTAATCCGCGGTACTTTCACCTAATGATTTAACAACTCATTATAATGTAAAACAATCACTAAATTAAATTACAAACACAAAATTAAAGGAAAAAAAACACCCAAACATTTAGTACCGGTTGGTAACACCAACCGGTACTAATGCCCTACATGCAAACGGGCCTGGCTCGTGCCACGTGGTGGCACTTTAGCCGGTTCTGACGAACCGGTACTAAAGGGGGGGACCTTTAGTCCCCACTCTTTAGTGCCGGTTCACGAAACCGGCACAAAAGGCCTTCACAAACCGGCACAAAAGGCCAGTTCTGCACTAGTTAATTGTCATAAGAAACTTTACAGCAAAACAAAGATTTCAGCGCACCCTCCAGGCTATAAAAGAACATGGCTTGGCCATAAGCATGTACAAGCCTGTTCCAACCCCAATCAGAGATGAGGAACTCAAACCTTCGCTGAAGCGATTCTTTGGATGCCCTCAACAAAATCAAAACCTTAGACACAGGAATACTCACCCTCAGCATCACTCAACCTGAACGCCTTCTTCAGGTACTCCATTTTGGCAGTGATATTTTTCCCGCCAAGGAATGCGACAATGCACAGGGTGTGTCTGAACATCCCATAGTCACGGCGCACACCAATGCCATTGGTGCAAGCCAACATCGCCTAGGATGCATTAAATTTCAAAACAGAAATTTTAATACAATGCAGAATGGCATGCTCTCACCTAGTTCCAAGTTATAAATAAAATGGCATGAGGATGAACAAGTTCACAACCAAGTCATGGTTTCTGCTCTACTAAATGATAACACTAACATATCAGGATTGAAATTATCAGTTTTATTTCATCAAGCGTTGGCAATGACCATACCAGCATCTAACAGAGCAGACAACCAACATCCAGTTAGGCAAAGTACACCAAAATAGGAATTACCAGCTTCCCGGACAATGAAAACTTTGTTGCACCGTACATGGTTTACCAATTTTCATAGCCCATTCTTGGTTCACGTAAATCTGAATCTAGCCGGCACTTCCCCTTTGCAAGCAGCCACATAGTCTTCAGCGAGGTGTGGTGCGGCTTCCTTGTGGGGGCAGATGAACTTTTTCATGAAAACCTTCTCAGTCTCAACCAGTGTTGTATAGTAGCTCCGCCCGTGCTCTAGCAATCCATTTTCCTTGAGAAATTTCACAACATAGTAGCGGGGCCTGAGCCGGCCCTCCAGGCTGTAGGTGAGCATAGCCGGCCGATGAGCAATGTAGGCCGGTTCCAACCCAACCTCAGAGATAAGGAAGTCGGACCTGCGCTTCAGCATGTCCTTTGACCTCGCCAGCATAAACGGACCCTTGGACACAGCAATGCCAACCTCGGCATCCGACCACCTAAACGTCTTCTTCAAATAGTCCACTTTAGCAGTGATCTTCTCCTCGCTAAAGCATGAGACGGCATGCAGGGCGTGCCCGAACATTCCAGAGCTACGGGGCACACCTATACCTTCGGCGCACGCAACCATCTCCAGGACGTGCCCTAGTTTGGCGCCAAACATCCTCGGCGCACCTATGAACAACTTGGCAATTTCACAAGCACCTAGCCCGCACTCTGCTAGGAGCTTGACATTTGGCTTGACCACCCTCTCGAGGTCAGAGCCGAGGACATGTCTGAGCGGCCGGAGCAAGTTATCGATGGGGCCGAAGAGTGGAAGGTAGTACTCTAGCTTGGAGACGACGGATCTGCAGCGGAAGTAGCCGGGGGCGAGCGAGACGAGGCGCGCAATCTCAGCATTTGACAGGCCGAGGCCGGTGAGCCCAGCGACGACAGGGGACAGGGTTGTCTCCACTTTGGTGCAGAGGAAAAGCGGGTCCCTGGCGACGAGGGCTGTCGCACCGGCGCCGGAGAGGCCGAGGCCGGCGAGGAAGGCGAGGACAACGTCGGGCTTGGCGGGGGACTTAAGGTGGGAGAGCTTGGCGGAGGCCAGTGCCTGGGCACGGGTGATGCCGCAGGTGGAGACGAGGTAGTCCTCGACGGCGAAGCTAGGGTTCGGTGAAATGGCGGACGCGGCGGCGGAGAGGAGGTGGTGGAGAGAGAGAGGAGTAGGGTGGTAGAAGGATGGAGAGCGGCGGAGAGGAGATGAGAGAGGACGCGCTGCCGGAGGTGGAGCATGACGCCGACGGCGGCGGCGGTGGCGGCGTTGGATGTGGGATGCGGCGTGTGTCTCCCTCCTCCGATGGTGGGGGAGCAACTACAATAGAATCTAGACTTGTGATAGAAGAATAGAAAAAACTAATCTGGGCCATCGAATCGAACATGAATGGTACAGATTCTTGATGGAGTCACCCCACGCCACTAAATATACATTTTATGAAAACCCCCCTGAAACTGGTTAGGCATAGAATTTAACTTTTACAGTATCCACCTCACCTTTCTCATATCCCATCATTTTGTCCCTAATAAGTAAGACTAATTTTCAAATCCTCACAGCGTTGATGCCTCCTGTATGCACATATCCTAGTAGCTTCTACTAAATCACTAATTATACAAGAAAATTGAACACATTGGTCAACAAAAAGTATCTCAATATCTATCACAGATATTGTGTACGTGAGAAAAAATGAGCCACCCCCCTTAACTACATCTCAAACTAGACCATTCAAGGCACAAACATTTGAGTACATGTCAATATTTAAGTACATGTCAAACCGAGCAATCTCATGTACAAATTTGAGTACATGTCAAACTGGGTCATCCCATGCACAAAATTTGAGTACTTGTCAATATGCAGCATCCTGGGCATACAAGAGATATACATACATATCCAGCGATACATTGCATGACAGAATCATATGGACTAAATGATCACCGTTGAACAACCATTGCTATAAAAAATCTGCCTCCAGTTCTATTGCTTCTTGCTCATCGAGCTTCATGTGCTGAAAAGATCACACCAAACAAGTACGATTCAGTTTGAGCACAAGACCAATGTTAGTGTCGTACAACCATACTTAAAAATTTTACTCATGAACTAATCAAATGAATGTGCATCAACAATACATTTGGCTAGCAGGAACAAAACTGTAAACTGAATATAGTCATTTGAACACTTCACATAGCATCATCACTACACTAGCAATAAGAATTGATCAGGGGTAACTTTTTCCATAGCGGGGAGATAAATTTTCTTACATCATTCTCTCAAATATGTGAGTGGAAAGATTATTCACGTGCAATATAACCAGCCTAAAGCATTTGGATACCATTTTCCATTCCATGTGATTGTTGCTTTCTACATAGAACATGAAATGTATTACACTTATGACATCTTTTTATTATGTGTTACTACTACATGCATGTCTCCCACGACTCCGAAAGAAACAAAGTTAGAAAAGAGGGCACAAGTTAATTGAGAGCATGTGTCCTGAGCGGTGAACAAATAATGAACCTTTTAAGCCACTAAGACACAATTGACCGAAGAAAGTACTCAATAATATTTTTGTACTGAAAAATATATGATTTCTTTCGAGTGTTTTGTTCACCAATTGATTGAGTTAGTAGATAATTTCCATATTAGGCCTACTTCTTGGCTTCCTACAGTCAGAAAGATTGAAAGTGATGCCTACACGCTGAAGCAAGCATTTGAAAATTGGATTCCCCGAAACATAAAATTGCAACCGACAACCAAGAAAGTATATTCATTAATGAGAAAACGGCAATCTCCAAATTTGATTCCTACAATCTCTTATTCATTGATGACAAAACTGGAATGTACTGGAGATGCAGTAGCAGCCAAGAAGCTGAGGCCATCTTCCTCCATTGAAAATTTGATTCCCCAAAACGTATATTGCACAAGAAAATGGAGATCGTACCAAATTTTAGAAAAAAGTTTAGCAATCGGGCATTTCTATATCAGTTGTCCATGTCCAAGCTATCCTTGGCTAGCCTGAGTATGATACACTCCACCATATTCTGCAGGTTTACGCTAGATATACATGGTCCTTGAGTATGTGATAAATGGAAGAGAGCTATTTGAGAAAATCGCAAGGATTCTTCTCCTTATGCTTTCAGTGTGCTAGCTGCTAAGCATGCTCAGGAACTAATGAATCAAATTCCAGAGATGTAATAGACTTTCACATGCATCATGCATCTCAAAAGCTCCCTAATACAGTACACTGGCAAGAACTAAAGGGCAAGCAGTCAGATCTCTGAAATTAATTCTAGAAAATAGAAATCCAACGAACATAAACATCATGGAAGAATGAATCCCTCACCGTACCGGCGCGTAAGAACACCTGGCGCACGCGGGCGTCGGGCTGCGTCTTCGCGAACAAGTTCGTGCCGCAGGTCTGTAACTCAGCTGCGAACCCGTCGGCATCCGGCATGGAGAAGTCCAGGTGGTGCCTCAGATGCACGGACGGGGCGCCCGCGGCCATCGGGGAGGAGAAGACCGTGGCGACGGCGGGGGTGCCTGGAGGCGGAGCTTGGAAGATGGAATGCAAGGGGGAGGAAGCAGGGAGCAGCTGTAGTGGGCGTAGCCGTCCCGCAAGCACCGGATCTGGATCGCCGCCGCCGTCGACGAGCAACAGGGAGATGCGGGCTAGTCGGGGTCGCGTTTGAAGGACAAGGATCCTAATCAAATAATGAGAGGCGAAGGGACGTTTTTGCAAATAATCGTGTAGCTGTGAGGACAGATCGCTCCACCTGGATCTGTGCCACTCATCTCCAATCCAACGTTCCAGGTTACCTTTTCTATTTTTGCACGCAATGCCCAGATTCTACACTAGTCGCTCCCCGATGGTGGGGGATTCTCTAATTAACTTAGGCTGAGCCACTAAGTAATCATCCAATCCCTGCCATCCAAATAACATCCAACGGCCACCAGAACATGTTTTATCTCATAAATAACAAAAGGAATTCTTATCTTTTTTTTAATAAAAAAAGTCTACACAAAAAAGTTCTTATCTTCTACAAAAAAGTACTATTGTATTGTAAAATGGTGGGATGCTACAGCGGCAATTTTCACGGAGTGTGTGGGTGTGGATGGATATAGCTACAACAATAAGGAGGGCCCGTTTAAGCATTGTTTTCGTTATTTTAATCAAGCCGTGCATGTGCTAGCAAACTATAGTTATTGTAATAACTTTTCTTTTAGTTAGATAATGAGCCTCATGGCTATCTAGTTAGCAAGCTCATGGACAATATAACTATCATATGATATAAATAAAGCTAGCCATGACGGCTTTTCCTTAAAAACCTAGTTAGCATCGACACCACCACAACATTATCATCATCACTCCCTCGATGACACATCAGTCACAGGTAGCCAACAATGAAAATGACACAGTTGTGGCACTAAATTGATGTTGGCATGAGACATACAATGAAAAGGAAGCTCTGAATTCGATAGAAGAATGCGATCCACCACTCGGCACCTTCATGGTTGTCGTATAAGGGCCAGTGGCGGAGCTTGCACCAAATAGCTGGGTAGGCCAGGCTGTAAGGATTGCTACTGGTTGGTTTTTTGTGACCCATGAGCTGGTTATAATGGGAGGAGAAGCTCCAGAGCTGGGCAGACCATGGCCCATTTGGACTTGCCTAAGCTTCATGAATGATAAGGGCCACACGTGGAATCCGAACGCTTTGTCCCGGCAACAAAAAAAGCTAAAAGTGAAGGGGCTCATGGATGATTCGTAAGGGGGAGGGGGATGCAACGCGTGCCACCATTGGGGTCCTAGATGGATCTATGGTTTCTCTCGGAGACTAATGGACAAGGGATAGAGTGTCATAGCTCCAACAAACAATACCTTCACCGAGGTGAGTGCCAACCCCGTGGAAGTTTGAAATTATTGGGGAAAGAGCCGAAACGATACCCCCATCCCAATATTAATGAATCAACATAGTCCTAGAACAGAAATGATATCTACTGCGCTATAGCAGGTTTTACAAATAGTTTCACCGGCGCTTTGACGATAGATGGTGTTCATGGATCATGCAATTGGTTCGGTCCGGAAGGACGACAATTAATATTAATGGCAGGGTGGGACCATTCTTTACGTCCTCTGTAGGGGTGAAGCAAGGGAACCTGATCTCCCCCTCATCTTCAACCTCGCCATTGATGCTTTGGCTGGCATCCTGGATAAAGCTAGGAGATGTGGCGACCTGTCGGGGGTAGTTGGCCACCTACTCCTGGGGAGGAGTCACCCACCTCCAATATGCAGATGACACCATGATCATGGTGGAAGGGACAGACCTTGACATCGTGAATCTTAAGTTCCTCCTCCTCTGCTTCGGGGCTATGTCTGGACTGAAGATCAATTTTGATAAGACCGAGGTGGTAGTCCTAGGGTTCTCCGCGACAGAGCAACAACGCATTGCGGATAACCTAAACTGCCGATTGGCCATGTTCCCCATCACTTACTTGGGGATGCCAATGGCTGATACCAAGATTTTGATGAGTGCATTTGACCCGATGCTAGGACGTGTGGCGTGTCGGGCTAAGCCGTGGCGCGGACGGTTTACCTCTAAGGCAAGTAAATCGGTCCTTATTAGTTCTAA